TGTGTATGTGAGACTGAGTGCTGGGATAATGGGTTAGTGAGGAGGAATTGCACGGGGAAAAGAAGTGAAAAGGACCGACGACGCATCGTGAAGCGATAAGAAGAGACACACAACGAGAGAATGCGAGAAATAAAAAGAAAAATGAGGGGGGAAAAATGCATCTCAGAATGGTGGAGAGAACGTAGCGGGGAAGCGAGAGCAGTTAAGTTATGAATTATGACGTGGCGCGAGCGAGAAAGACGAATCGAGATGGTCGCGAGGTCGTTATGACCGGGCAGGGGTGTCGGGGGATATACACACGTGAATATGTGTGCGAAATAGCTGTGGGAGCTTTAGGAAGGAAGCAAAAACCTACTGCAACGATACCTCCTCTTTCTTTTATACTTTTCGAGTTTCTTTTCGTACTGCTGCCTTCCTTTTTCTTCGTCGCTCTTCTCGGTTTTAAGCCTTACGGGAAGTGGCAACAAAAAATCCTGTTAAACGACCGGCCACTTCGTGAACCCAAAAGACGAAATGCCGACGTGCAAACTGCCATTCGTAAGGACTTAAATCGCTCATCAGTGGGTAGAGCTGAACTGAATTTCGGGGGGTGGGACGGGGGGGTTAAAATTATAGTTGGGGAGGGTCGGGCGATGGTGATTGATACTTCGTTCGAGAATTTTCTTGCGCATTGGTAGAAATTTTTCGAAGGTTCAGGGAAAATGGGATAGTAATTATTGGGAGAGTGACATTGAATTCGATTTTGGGGAAAAATGGGTGTGAATTTTCAAGTTGTAGGGGGAATTCAAGGAAATTCATGAGTTTTCAGTGGCAGGGAGACGGAAATTTCAGAACTTGATTGAATTTTCAATGGAATAGGAATATTCAGAAACAAAATAACATGAATTTTCCTGATTTTTCCGAATTTTCACGGAATAATTGCACTGAAAAATCAAGTATTTTATTGATTTCCAGATCATTTGAACAGAAAATTAAAAAAAAATTAATTTTCAATGGAACATGAATATTCAGAAACAAAATAACATGAATTTTCAATTTTTCCCTGAATTTTCCTGATTTTTTCGAATTTTCACGGAATAATTGCACTGAAAAATCAAGTATTTTATTGATTTCCAGATCATTTGAACAGAAAATGAAAAACAAATTAATTTTCAACGGAACATGAATATTCAGAAACAAAATAACATGAATTTTCAATTTTTCCCTCTATTTTCCAGATTTTTTCGAATTTTCACGGAATAATTGACCTGAAAAATCAAGTATTTTATTGATTTCCAGATCATTTGTACAGAAAATCAATGAAATATTTGATCTTTCAATGACAAGATTTCCTGAAATTCCAGTGCAACTTGAACACAATAAAACTTATTAAAATTAAAATGATTCAAATTTCTTTTTTAAATAATTAACGATAAAAAATTATTAAAATAAAAATGATGGAATATTTCACGCATTTTCCTTGAACTAACTTCACGGAATTCAAAGTTCCCAGTAGTTCTCTCAAAAGACAAAAGAAATTAATTCCAAATTCAGAAAAATACTCCCCGTCTTGCCCCAGAACACAAAAAGATTTTTCATAAAAAAAAGTATTTTCGAAATCCCCGACTTCTGGATCGAAATGAGTCGTCTTTTCTATCAACCCCACCTGTCAATTTTTCATATTATCAATGAAACCACTAAAAATCTCCAATCCCAACCAAAAATACCAATTATTAAATTTAACCCATTCCCTATTTTCGTAAATCTACGAATTTGACGTGCGGTAAACGTTGAACTCTATCTTGGCACGGTTAGATGATAGAAACGCAGTCCCCGAGATTCCCTCTAGCTGCATCGCCGTTGGAGATAATGACGAGAGAGACAGGAAGTGCAACCGAGCCCGAGATGATGGAGAAAGAGGAAGCGAGACGCCTGAGCCCGGAGAAAATGTGTGCGTGGGTAATTGCCGGGGCATCTCTTCGCACCTCATCATCATCATCAACAGCTAAGACCGTTGTCGTCGTATACAGGCGCGTTCCCGTGGCGGTGAGACGAGAAGACACAAGTCGGAGAGGAAGTGTATATATTCCCCATTGGACCACCCGTTTCGCTACTTGCTCACTCGATTTTCACCTTTCTCTCAGCGTTTTTTTCTTTGCGCATCCATTCCCCGATGAAAGACAGTCCGAACGGAGTGGGCTACAATTTTTCCATCCATTCCCGAGAGGCGGGATAAAAAAAATGCCGGAATAGAAAAACTAGTCTGCACGGAGAAGACTAAAAATATTCGATAAAAATTACGTCTTTTCCGTAATTCCGGTGCACGGAGAGAAATATTCAAGAAAAATTACGGAACATTTCACGTAATCCGCAAGCGAGAATCGTTTTCAGTGAATTTCTATAGGAATATAAGAGAATAAATCTGAATCGTTCAGTAAATTTTCGGGTCTGGCACCGAAAAAATACGAAAAAGTCGCGTAATTTTTCTGGAAGTTGTCAAATCTAACAGAAACTTCAAGACTTATTATGCCTCAGAACATGAAAATTCTTGGATGTTTAAGAATTTTTACGAAAAGTTCCGGAAAAATTACGGAACGTGTTGTTAAAATCTCCCCCTCACGGTGACTCATGGCTAGCCGTGAGGCGTCGGACGGATGAGTAATTTTTACGGAACAGATCGTAGAATTTACGTGACGATTGACACTTTTTATTGAATTTTACTTCGCTCCCAGATTACGTTTCGAAACGTAATTTTTACGTCTTTTTTCTGGTAATTTTCATTGAATATTTCTCTCCGTGTGCGAAATGTAAAAATGTAAAAATGAAACAATTTAAAATAATAAATTTTCCTCTATATGAGATATTTTCATCCTGAAAAGGCGCCGTCTGGTGTGAATTATCCGCCTCTTGAGCCAAATATTTCGCTACTGTCGAAAGCAGAGCGATTATTCATGTTTGAGACTTTCAAATTCGAACCAAACAAACTCTTTTTTGGCAATTTTCAACTAGCGATTTTGTTGGCCCAAACAAGACTTGTTTGACAAGGTGTTTGTTTTTCTCTCAGCGTACGTTACAATTTCACCAGAAACTAAGTTTCTACACCATCAGGACGCGGTTGAATTCCCGAAATTCCTGGCGTAGCTTAACGCGTTACAAGAGTGTCATGATGAAGTTGAATCGCTGGTTGTGACGTTGTAAGGGCGTCGAGACGCACCCGGGGAATGTCGACGTCGACGGGGCCGGTGGGGACCACACAAGACGCTAACGTTTCTAAACGACCATAGTGAAATATGGTAATACAGGGGACCCTGCTGTCTGACACGATCGTTTCGAGAAAAAGGAGGAAATAAGTGGGAATGGGGATGTCAGAGAGGGGGATGTGAAAAGAATCGCTCACTGGTGTTTGCTGGCACTGGGGCTCGCGGGAAATGCCTCCGCACAAATAAAGGGAAATATTGACAATGGAGGATAACATCGGTGAGGCTGTTAAACTCTAATTCCGTTGTAGACGTTGATATCCAGGTTTTAGAGCTCTGCGATGAGAGAAAAAATGACGTTTTGTCAGAAAACTAATTGTTGGAGCCAAATATGCAATCTATTGGGGATAAATTCATGACTAGATGGGAGTTCATGACTTGAACGTGAACATTTCTCCGCGGAATTTTTGACAAAATCGTTTACCAAGCAGTTATTGAATTTTAAGAAGTAATTAATTAAAATTCAGAAGAGATTTTTTAATTTCATTCGACAACCATTTGTTGAATTTTCGGTAAATGTTCAGCAGTTTTTTGATGCACTGTTGCAAATTTTTTGAAATTTCATGGAAGATGTTATAGTAAATCTCATGAGAGTGAGATTGAATCGAATTTAGGGAAAAATAGTTATGAAATTTCAATTTTTAAGGAGAATTCACGCAAGTTCGTGAGTTTTCGGTGGGAGTGAGGTGGAAATTTTACAATTTGATTGAATTTCCAGTGGAGTATGAATATTCAGAAACAAAATGACATGAATTTTCAATTTCCCCCTGAATTTTCCTGGGTTTTCTGAATTTTTACAGAATAATTAAACTGAAAAATCAAGTATTTTATCGATTTCCAGATCATCTGAACAGAAAATCAATGAAATATTTGATTTTTCAATGACAAGATTTCCAGAAATTTCAGTGGAACTTGAACACGATATCATGAAATCAAATGATTTCAACTCTCTGAAATCACTGATTTCGAGTCCTTGAAATCCTTCGAAATCAATTGCAGTCACGAAATCATATCTCGATCCACTTCAAATCACTGATTTCATTCCTCGAAATCCCGTGAAGTCGCCTTCATTTCGAAATCACGGTGTCACTAAATCCGGGAGTGAGTACCCCCTCCCGAATTCCGTTTCCATCCCCAAAATTTCCAGAACTCAAAGTTCGAAATTTGTTTCGCACTATTCTCCTTCCCCGAAAAAAATTCCCATGCAGCATTTCACGCCTGTTTCATCCCGTAATTTTTCCTCAAGTTTTTCTCCCGACAAAACATCTCCCCCCCCCCCTCCCAACCGCTTAAATTAATCTCCTGTACATTATGGAATCATCGAGAGCCCCAAAGAATTCAATTTCGCCCTCCATCAAATCGCATATGCATACGATCCCTAATAAAAATTCACCGGGTGCATTATAACTCTTTCGTCAACGTCTGAAACCAACGTGTGTTCCTCGGCCTGCACCTCTCCCCCCTCCCCCTTCCCAATGGGTTTGGACTCTTGACCGAGGCGAATTAATTCTCTCGTTTCATCCTCATGCGAAGGTTGTTGAAAAAAAGAATGATGAGAAGGATTGGCAAAGAGTTTTGCCCCTTTGAAGATTGAAAATAAAAGATTCAGGGACGAGTCTGGATGATGGGCTTTGAAGAATGAAAATAAATAAATAAATAAAATGGTGGATGAAGATGGAGTGAAAAAAAAAAAGGGAACGATGTATTAACAGTAGCTGGTGGGATATAAGAGGAAGAAATCAAGTGGGAGTAAATAAAACTTACAAGCTGATTCTGATAGGCGGTGACGGCGGTGAAAATGGCCTCCGGGAATACGAAGGTCTTGTGTGGCTCACGCTCAAGATCCTCGATCGGGTCCTTGGCGCCTGAGTCCGGTCTTTTAACCAGATGTATGCGCGGTTGGTACTTGTGCATTGAGTTCAATACCAGCTGTAAAATATCAGAATATATCATTCAATTTTATGAATCCACTGGCTGCCATTAACGGCGGAGATAAATGAGTGGAAATAACATGGACAAAGGGGCCACCCTAGAGTGTGTGAAACGCTGAGGCAAACGTAGCGTTTGGTTTTGGGGAATTGTTCCCCTTGTAGCCGATTATTTTGAAAAATCGAGTTTGGCAAATAAACAGACTAATATTTGGACATGCCGGCAATGTACGTCATTGTTCATTTATTTATTTTTCAGTGCAATTTTATTGGATTTCCGGGGGATGCGGGAGATGGAGTACAGGAGAGTGAATTATTGTGAGAATTTTTGAGATGTGTCGAGGCTGGAAGTAGCGATTTATGAAAGATTGATCATGAGATTCCATTCAGTGGCTAAGACTCATTCTGTTGCTGCAGCTTTGGCTGATTGAATATTCTACATGAAACAATATTGAGTTGTTTTCCTACCTCACGATTAAGCGGATTTATGTCACTTTGGAGTCAAATGAAAAGCGTTCAGAAGAGAAATTTCGTGAAAGACGACTTCCGAAGCTATGCTGTAACATAATTATACGAACGAGGCAAATAACCTGCGCAAATGTTCCCCGAAACATTTTTCGCAAACAGAGAATCCCGTTCTTAATTCAGAAGACAGTAATTATTTCATTGTCTTCCAGACGTGAAATAATTATCAATGAAGTGATCTCATATTCAAATAAATCGCCGTAATATCAAGCAGCAACAGCCGCGATCAGGCTTTCTGTGGAGAAATGTAACGGGAGCCCCAATCTCCCCGAAAAAATACTGAACTTATGGAAATCATTACAGCTACAAGGAGAGTCCTGCCCGCAATAAGCCTTGATGTAGTGCAATCGCTTGCATCGGTAGCGGCCAATTTAAATAGACTACACTGAGAGAAAAACGACAAAGTTCTCAAACAAGTCTTGCTTGTGCCGAGAAAATAGTTTTTTGAAAATCATCACAAAAGGATTTTTTTTGTGCCAAACATGCAGAGTGCGCCGGAATGAAAAATTTTTGTCGAAAAAATCGATTTAGTACACTGTTAAAAAAGTTTGTAAAATTACTATACTTTTGCTGCATCAAAGTGTGGTAAAATTACAAATTCGATGGTAGAATCGGTATTTACTATATTTTTGTATGAATATTGCAGTCAATATGTTGGAAAATTACCACAGGTAAATGTAGTAAATTTACAACACGAATGGAATAGAATTGCTCTTCTTATGTAGTAATTTTACAATATTCGTGTATGCGAGTATTCCTTTTTTTTCCTAGAAAATTCTCATATGATAACTGTAAAAAAAGTGTTGTAATTTTACCACACTATGTGTGAATAAAACTTCCAACATTTTTGTTAGAATTTCGGGTCCAATTTTTTTAACAGTGTAGTTTCAAAAAAAATTGGATTCTCTGAACACGCAAGTAATGTCATTTCTAGCACTGCTCCTTCGTAATTCGATACTCCCATACGTATTTTGCTCCCGAGAAAACTTTCTTTTATGCGAAACAAGGGATAGTAGCTTTTCGTTTCGGCTGTCTAATAATCACAGATAAGAAATGAACCCTTAAATGAAACAATAATAATGATATGATAGCAATCTCGTAACTTAGGGATAAAATATTAGTTGATAAATTTTCCTCTATATGAGATATTTTCATCCTGAAAAGGCGCCGTCTGGTGTGAATTATCCGCCTCTTGAGCGAAATATTTCGTTGCTGTCGAAAGCAGAGCAATTATTCATGTTTGAGACTTTCAAATTCGAACCAAATTTTTTTTTTGCAATTTTCAACTAGCGATTTTGTTGGCCAAACAAGACTTGTTTGACAACGTGTTTGTTTTTCTCTCAGTGCAGACTAGAGTGCAATGCAACAGCAGGACAAAACAATTTGAATAATAACAGAGGTCGTAGACCCGTTGGGAATCGATGACTCGTCTGGTGATAAAATTGTAACAATCGGTCTGCTCTTGTATCATGAATATTCCAGCTTTTAACACCCAGAACATGGAGAATACTCGTGGAATATTCTCGGTGAGTCTATAATTATCACGAGATATTAAATATCCGGTGGTAATCAATGCGGACCAGTCTGTTGAGACGTCTGAGGACGTGTCTGGTAACTGATGGTGATTAAATCTAGAGATTTCTCGTCGGAGATAATTCCGAGGGACGAGACAGGCTGAGGCACGACGTGATTCTTTTAATTTCGAGGGGTTTTTCTGGATTCGTCGGGGAGTGACCGGGAAATTAATGAATTCTACTTACGTGTCCGTGTCTGTCCATCTCGTTGTTCGTTAGTTTGACCTTCTCGAAGGAGACAATCTGCTTTCGCAGCTGCTCACCGGTGAAGGGTGAGTCGGGGTGAACGTAGAGTCTCGCAGGGGCTGGGGGGTCAGCTTTTCCAGCCACTAGCCACGAACTCCTGTGGTAGGCGTAACGGTAGCGCTTCTTGTCCACCGGGACGATGTCCATCAGCACCGCGTAGCGACCGTCAGGCCTCAGTCCGTTGAATGACACTCGGCAGGTTGGAAACATTCTCCTGTAATGGAGGGACTGATGGTCAAGGGCTGAGGGAAATATTCGGTAAATATTACGGAACAATCCACGTAATCCGCAACGGGGAATCGTTTGCCGGCAATTTTTGTAGGAATCGGAGAGAAGAAATCTGAAACGCTCGGGGAATTTTCAGGTTCAGCGCCGAACAAACTACGAAATTGTCACGTAATTTTTCCCGGAGAAGTAAAATCTTACAGAAACTTGCCGACTTATCATGCACTGTTAAAAAATTTTCACTGAAGTTTCCAGGTTTTAGTCTTGAAATATGAAATAAGTGACGGTTTTATTGAAATTTCAGGGAATTTTATCATTGAAAATTCGTGGTTTTCGTGGAAAATTCAGGGAAATTTTAAATTTCAGTTCAATTATTCCATGAAAATTAATGGAAATTAGGAAAATTCAAGCAAAAATGTTCTTGAATTTGCAATTTTTTGAAATTTCAGAGAAATTTTTTATTGAATTATCATGTTTACATTGAAAATTCGTGGAAATTTCGGAATCTTCACGGTTCTTCCACTGAAAAATCAGGAACTTCCTTGAATTTTCAGGGAAACTTGACATTTCATAGACTTTTTTTCGTTAAATTGAATTCCATGTCATTTTCTGGAAAATTTAGACAAATTTTTTTAACAGTGCTCTACGTTCCGTTCCGTAAAATTTCTCAATCGTTGGGGAAAAATTACGGAACGACTTGTTGTCACCACAGGTGAGTCGTCAGACCGGTGGTTAATTTTTACGGAACAAATCGTAGAAGTTACGTGATGATTCGTACAATTTCAGTTCCGACTCACCCTTTTTATTGAATTTTACTTCGCTCGCGGATTACTCTTCGCAACGTAATTTTTGCGTTTATTTCTGGTAATTTTCATTGAATTTTTCTCTTCGCGACAAAATTACTTGAAATTTCTGTGGAAAACTTTTAACAGTTTTCCTCCGATCTCAATCAATAATTTGACGGAAAACCCTCCGTTGAAGAATCATCCAGATAAATTCGAGGTAAACGGTGTCGCGATAAAATCACCTGGGGCTGAAGACAATTGTAACCTCTTACTCAGTGGTAGACATCATGAATTGTGAGGTTGTAACAGGCTACTTTATCTGTATGTACACATGTGGGTGAGCGTGTGGTTGAATCGGCTGCACCAATACAAACATTTTTTGGCTCATTTCAAGCACAACCACGGTCACTCCTCTTCGGGGGTACATCCTATTGGGGATATAGGTGGCTTTTATAGCGTGAATGTTTTGCCTCCGAGGCGAACATTAATACCGTGTCGGCCCCCCCGTTGTGTCGACCACTAAAACGCGGTGGACACCCGCCGATCTTATCTACGTCTTCTCCTCGGTCCTTGTCGACTACGGTATGCATTCATCCCGCCTTGGCGTTCACTACTGCGATCAACCCTTGTGAGTAATGCATTTATTTATCAAGGTGTCTTTTGTTAATGAATTGAACGCGACGAGATACAGGTCCACGGTTTATATGTGAAATTATCCCGATTCTGGTCTTTTATTTTTCAATCAATTTTTGGTATGGAAATATTCACTGGTGGAAAATTAATCCTGATATTTCAGGTGAAAAGTCTTGACATTTTAGACAAATGTCACGACAATTGACATCGTGAATGAGTGACATTTTAGACAAATGTCACTCATTCACGAGAAATTTTCGAGAATTTTGGTGTTGAAAAATCAGTTGAATTCTGGAGTATTCACACGTGATAATTAAAATTATTAGATAATTTGAATTTAGCGAATTCGCTAGACATTTCTATTGGATTTCTATTGGGCTTTCTACTAATTTTTGGCCGATTCCATTGAAATAGGAAAATAGAAAATATTCTGTAGAAAAAGTCGAATTCAATTTTTTGGTGCAACTTATTCTATTGAGATATTTTCTACAGAATTTCTTCGGCTCAAATTTTTTATTCTATTTTTCTGTTCTTTTTATCGCAAAAATCAAACAGAAAAATGAAAAAATTTGAGCAGAGGAAATTCTATAAAAAGTATCGCAATAGAATAAGTTATTCACTGTTATAAAATTACTCCTGATATTTCAAGTGAAAAATCTTGAAATTTTAAACAATTACATTTACAAGAAATTTTTGGGAATTTTGTTGTTGAAAAATCAGTTGAATTCTGGAGTATCCACACATGATAATTAAAATTATTAAGTAATCTGAACATTCAAGCAACAATTTTCATGAATTTCCAACGTGAATGAGAGATTTCCCCCGTCAAACAATATATTTAAAAAATATATAATATTGACCAATTCCATATATTTTTCAAAATTATGAAGAACATATAAAAAATACATATAAACCGTATGTTTTATATATTTTTTTTTTCAAATATAAATTGAGCCAATTTAAGATATTTTTTAATATATTTTTCAACATATAAATTTTTTCGTGTGGGTCCATGAACGATTTGAACTTAAATTGAATTCAAATTCACAACATTGAGAATTTCAGCGCAACTATTGCTTAATTTCCAGAAAATTTCCAACAGTGTTTTTGGAATCAATGTGTCATCAACCGGGGGGATATCTCCGCCCAGATTTGGGCGACTTTTCAGTGGATCTGCCTGAGTTTATGAACGGGTTTTCGGGTAATTGGAATTTTCGGGTTTTTTTTAATTTCGAATTTCCGGATTTTTCCCTCTTAAACTAAATTCAATGTCGTTCTCTTCACGATTGCTGCTAAACTATCCATAAAATTTCATTTTTTAACAATGCCCCCTTCAGAAAATTCGAATAGTGCAATTCATCGAAAACCAGTTGCATCACAGGAACTATTTTTCTTGAATATCCCCAAGATGATCCCACGATCAAGCTGAGATTGAAGGAAGATTGCCGGAGGTGGGCGAGGGTAAAAGAGGCAGGGGCGTCGCGACGCAGATCTAATTACTGACGCCCGAGTGAGCGGCCAAACGGGGTGCAGTGGAGGCTGTACAGCGCTTTTCTGTTGGGTCCTTGGGGGGTTCCTCGAGCTGTGAGGGTGGATGTGCGTCGCAACGCGCAATTAGGCACTCGGGACTCCACAACTGATTTATCAACGAGGTTTTATCACTGAACGACAAAAAGATTTAGATTGAATGCACACATAAGAAACAGGGAAGTTAATTATCTCATTTTGACATCTTTATTTATTTTTTAAATTATTTATTATATTTTTGATTCCATTCATTTGGTGATTTATTAAATTTTTTTATTTCTTATTTTTCTGGTCTAATGAAAAATTTACTTTTGACAAAGACGATTTCCTCGATACAAGAAAATATTCTCTTGTCAATTGTCTAGTAATTAGAATTGTTTAAGCTTTCGCGTAAATTATTTCAATATTCGACTTTACCAAAATGGAATGTATTTTCCGCTTCAATTTCACGAGGAAGCGAAATTCTTAATTAGAGAATTTTCTCATCTCACTAAACGACGCGTCGAGCCGAAGACATTGATGTAGTGGCCCCACACGCACCCCCAACCCTTCCCCTAAAAAATCACGGGAGATTTACGACTGGACCGATTGACCCCACAAAACTGATCCGCATGACTCAATCCCCACGCGACTGAGCAACTGACCCCCAGTGTCCCCAGAAAGCCCTCCCTCACTCGATCAACTCACCGTCCAGTTTTCGTGATGATCATCTCAGTTCCGAGCTCATTAAATTTATCCCACAAGTCCTTCGTCTCGAGGTGACAGACCACGTGCCTGAGCTCCTCGCAGTTCGAGTGCTCCTGGAGCAACGGATTCGTCGTCGGTGAGGGCGCCTTGCCGCTGGTACTGCCCGTGTCATCAGTCTCAACGTCGTCGTCTATGTCCACGGAGTCTTGGGACGCCGATGGCACCCGCGTCACGCCCGAGCCGCTTGCTTCCCTCTCTGGAAAGAGATCAAACGAGTTTTAATATTCCGGATAGCGAAACGGTGAAATGAACGGATACAATTTGTCCTGGAACTCATGATTCCCTGTATCATTTTTTAAAATCACTTCGCGGAGAGAAAGGTTCAGTAAAAATTACGGAACTCATAATTCGCTCACCGATTACGGAATAGACTCGGAAAATTTAAGTGACGATGTCGTAATTTTTCACAGGGGATTCAGATAAAATTCACGGAACGCTCTGGAAAAACTATGGAACTTGGACGTGTTTTGGAGCTAGATTTGATTAATCACCCACTAGTTTTTTTCATCCCCATTATTAGTTTTTTAAAGATTCGTTATTTATAAATAAATGATTGCAATTATTTAAACTTTTGGAAACCTTATTTTTAGGCATAAAATCGACTTCTAGGAAAATTCTGGAAATGAATAAAATTGGTGCGATTCTGAACAAATGATTTTTACGATGGACAATTGATTGTTTATAAATTATTTATAGAAAATGCTCGGAATTGCAGTTTCGAAGTGCAATTTTTTGTAAAAAATTGCATTTCTTAAATGATTTCATCAATCTTCCTCGAAAAGTCAACTTTATATTTTTTTCAGATTTTTATAATGTTTTATAACTGTTCAATATCGAGATTAGAATTCAGACTTGCAAAATTTAAATAATGAAATCATTTTAAATTGTCGGGAAAAGTAGGATCAAATCTTAAAACAAGATATAATTTTTTGTTGGTTAAAAAATCCCAGAAAAAAATCAGAAAAATCATGCCCAAGGATTCTCAAGTTTTCAAGTCGTATCTCCCAATTATTTTCTATCGGTGTAACTCAACCCTACACTGTTAGAAATTTTTCGAAATTTGAGTACCAAATGCACTTGAATTTTCAACATTCTGAACTTGAATTCAATTTCAGACTAAATTGCTCGCGGAATTCCCGATTCATCTTGGAAATTCAATAAAATTAAGTTTTTCATTCTGAATGATCATTGAATTTTCAATAACAATTTGGAGTTTCAAACCTATTGCGAAAATCAAGCAACAGATTGAAAATTCAGAAGAAAAATTCCCTGAATTTTCATGACTTCAGTAATTTTCATTGTCGTATGAACCTGAGAAATCAAATTCCATTGAATATTCAACAACATTGACTGATTAACAATAACAATTCTCTTAACAATACCAGAAATTCCCTGTAAATTATTCCTTGTTAAAAATTTCAAAGTTTTTACTTGAAATTTCAAGAATAATTTTCCAACAGTGTAGCCCCCCTGATAAATCTCCACTCCCCCTAGCCCAACAAATTAAAAATTGAGACTTCACCCATTACAACGCTCCCAAAAAATCGAAAAGCACTAAAAACCCTAACTCAGACCTTGAACTTGCCCCTCCCCCCAACTGTGATTGACTAATTTATCAATAACAAGATCAACAGAAATTCCCTGTAAATTATTCCTAATTTTCTACCAGTGCCACAGCCCAAAAAATTGAAAATTGAGACTTCACCCGTTGCAATCCTCCCCTTCACCCCCAAAAATTCCAAAAGCACTAAAAACCCCAACCCCCTCAGACCTTGAACTCCCGCCCCC